TGGGTGCCGTTGGTCCGTCTCGCCTTCCAGACTGGAGTCCACGTAACCTGCCTTGTGCTTGGCTCGAGACTTGACAGAACATGGCTCGCAGTCGATACCTGCGGCGCTTCTGCTGCAATCTCCTAATCGGATTGTCTGTTTAAAGTGTGTTTGGTTCTGAGTTATCTGCGGGGTAATGGCTGATCATGACGCGTGGCAGTGAAAGCCGCAAGGAAGCTGTCTCGCCGATGCCGCCTTATCTTTGCACGATATCCAGCTGTTTGTGACGGAATGTTGTTTACACAAGGTGTAGGCGCCTTGACCCTGAATGTTTGCTTAGGGCATTAAGGTTTTCAGGTAAGTCCCCCTTTCTCTCCCTCTTCTTATTGTTTATTTCATAGGTCCTCACGGTTGTATGGCAGCGAAGCATCAGTTCAAATGGCTGGTGTACTGCTGCTGTTGTTGTTTGTTGTTGTTGTTAGTGAAACGATCCACTAATTTGAGCTGTTTGGTAAAAACTAATGCCGGAGGTGTGTCGGTCCAGCCCTGCAACAGCACCTTGCACTATGAAGGTAAAAAGTGCATGCCGAAAAAAGCACGGCTAAGCGTCAGACAATCAAATAGTGCTTGCTTAGCCACTGTGTCAGACACAGGAAGACCTATGTCGTCCGCATACTCCAGATTTGTAAGTCGGTCACCTGACAGGACTTCCATTCCAGTAGAGTTTGAAATAAAACGGAGTCACCCATGATCACTACGACAACAAAGTTGAAGAGGAAATGAGATATAGGACAACAATGGCAGGCCCCACTTGTCATGGGGGGGCTCAGGAAATGGCTTCACGCACACCCATACATGGCCAAAGGAGTCACGGTAGAGTGAATGCATAACGGAAAAAAGCGTAGCTGGCAAGCCTTTCATGGATAGGCAATGCCACAAGCTGGCGCGGTCAACAGTTGAATGTGACTTTCAAGTCAAGGAAAACTACCAAAATCGTCTGTAAGTGCATTTTTATTCTGATATTTGACGAAGAGTGAATATGTGGTCGATGAAACCACGACCAGAACGGAAGCAAGGTTGGCTTTCAGGGATTCGGTTCTCACGAGACCCAGTAAGTCGTCAAAGAACGATACCCGCGGGAAGTCTGGAGCCAATAAAACAAAGGCCTCGGTGATTGTCGCACAATGTGCACTGCCCCTTCTACAAGGTGAGCGAGAGAGCTGTTCACAGTCGCCAGTCGGTTGGCAAATATTAATGCCACAATTCGTGTTTCATAAAGAAGCAAGCCTAGTCAATTAGGAGTGACCTTCACATTTCAGCAAAGATGGAGGAAGGTCGTGGATATAGAAGCCTTGTTTCGCTTCAGCACTGAAAGCTCATGTCGAATCTCTTCCAAAGTGGTAGGTGTGACATCTACTTCCCACATCGGCTCAGGTGATTTAGCAAACGGTATTGACGCATCAGACATAGTGAATTGCTTATTAGAATATTCCGCTCAATGGGTTAATCGACGAGGCTGAGGATGGATCAACTGTCCATCATTCTCGCTATCGTCTTGCTAACTAATGGCTTTCTCAGAACTGTTTTCCACATGGGCTGGAACAGAACACGGCGGTTCTCAATAGCACTGGCTTTCTCCATCTCATGGGGCCTTGCCATCCACGAACGTTCCCGGTCGCTTTGAAGATTCCATGCCAGAGGTAGTTCCAGGGTCTTACAGACACGCTGAAACTCAGTGTCCTTTGGAACCTGTTTCTGTGCTTCGATCAAGCTGAACAATGCCTCAGAGATCAATTCACAGTTCGGACGTTTGAAGTTGGGTGCACAGCAAGCGTCAAAGGTATTATTCATCGCACACATGCGACGGTCCCAGTCCGCGTTCGGCTCACCAACCTCATCCATCACTAACAATTGGTGGGCTGGCTCATCGAGATGTTGCAGAACTGCTGACTACGTGTTCAACTTACAGATGGGAAGCTTACACGTTAGACGCTTGTTTGAAGCGGAAAGGGTGTGTGCCAGGCGTGCGCGCATGAGAGCATTGTCAGAACTAGGCACGCGTTCCAAACTGACCGATAGTCTTGGACTGATGGGTGCTGTTTATAGCCGATGGCAATATTGTCAATTTGGGTCCAGGTCGGTGGACGCCAAGTGTCGTGGTGTGAACATTGGTGCTGGAAAGCAGTGCTGCTAACAGTTACAGGAATAGATCACCATTTTCTGTTCGGTGTACATGGACTTCGAATCAGCCCCCCAGGTAATGTTCAGAATCCAAAAGACGACTCACACGAGCATTCATGGCACCAGCTACAATCACGATGTCAATATTCTTCGCTATACGAAGAGATGAGAGTTAACGATAGAAATCGTCTTTGATATGCTCTGAAGCGCACTTAATATGGGCATAAACTGAGGAGATGAAAGGGGATCTGTTTTCAGATGATGCTTAGGAACTTTAAACGTGGTCCAAAATCGAACGGAACACATGCGGTTGTTCAACGGCCTCCAATCGAGTAGACCGCTTTCAGCATGTGTGTCGAGGGCGATACCAACACGGTAAATAACTTGAGCCAGAGATACAAACAGTGTATTCATTGTCGTCAGATTCAGAACCAGGGAGTCAAAGGCTCGTCACAACGCGAGCGAGAGTTATCGATGTCAGTTGGGGAGCAAAAGCTCGAGGCGTTCTTACTAACCTTAAACATCTATGGCGCAAGTGCGACATCGCTCAGAAGAGTAGAGTACACCACAATGCAACCATACGATCGGTTCAACTGTACGATTTTGAAACTTATCCTATTAGATCGGCAGACGCAAAGAGGATAGTTACGTTCGACCACCGGTGCCTCCGCAGTTTGGTTCATATCTGGAGGGAAGAGTGTGAGCAATGAGCATGTTCGGTGCCTTGTTTATGGTACAGGAAGAAGTGAGCCGCTTAACACGTATTTCAAGCACCAGAATCCGACAACTGAGCCACGGGCTGCGCACGCTAGCAGAATGACTCCCGCGACGTGCGTTGCTTCCGCGCCGGATGTGTGGATGAAAAAAAGAGGAGAGGTTAAGAGATGGCTTGGTCAAGAGGAATGAAGCCCTTAGTTGGAAGTTGGCCCATGTTGGAGCCTCGGCTCCATAGTTGTGGCTCAAAAGACTAGCAACCTGTTTGGTTTGATACACTTGTTGACATGGGGTTGTGTTTTATGGTCCCTCCCTTCCCGTTAAACTCCTCCAAAACATCTCATTTCCTACGCATAATATAACTTTTTGTAGTGCAACAGCGGGATGCTAGCTCTGCGGAACGCTGTCCGTCCATAACGAGTAGCTCAACTGGCATGCATTTGTCGCATTTTGGTCTTTACTCATGTATTTCGAGTACAATAGCTGAGGCGTTTCCCACCCCTAGCCGACTTGTATAATTATGATGATGGTGATGCTGCCTGTTGGCCGAGCTGACCCAGAGCGCAGACATTGAAAGAACTGATGTGAAATGAGAGTCTAGGTTTGATGGAAGAGCCACATGTATCGATGATAGCAGCCGCAAGGTCGGCGACAGTCGCTTGCTCAAAAATTGGTAGAAGAAAGTTGACAGAGAAAAATAAGATGGAGTATTGCCGACGGCATCGACATTCCGATAGAGTTTTGTTCTAGGTGCTCTGCCTCTAGTCTCAGTTTGACCCACAAGGCAGTGACGTACATAGAAGTTAGCCTGAGGAACTTCACTCGAAGCCTTTGGTTTAGTAGCATGACCCACAGAGCAGCTCAAGGATGTGCTGGCAAAGCCCCGTGGTATCCGATTGAGATCTGTTACAGTCTACGAAAATTTAGAACAATGCACATGTGTTATACGACTAGTATGTTACGCACCTGCGTCCGCCGCCAGCCGTAGGTAGGAGTTGGAGGAGTTGCACCAATTGGACCAGACTGCCTCACTTGAGATGGGCGGTAGCGAGCCATTGAGCACGGGAAGGTGCTTTCCCACTTTTAGAGATAATGCTCGTGCTCTAGGCCAATCGAACTGTGAGCTTGCAACCCATAGACCTATTGTCTCCAATGGCTCATCATCATCATCATCATACACGTTAGCCAGAGGTGGGGAACACCTCAGCTACTGTGACGCAATACATAGAAAAAAAGAAAAAAATGCAACTGGTGCAAGCCGGCTGAGCTACCGGTAACGGATGGGCATCGTTCCGGTAAGCTACCAGCCGGCTACTGTGCACCAAAAAGAATTACTATGCAAAATTAAATAAAGTTAAATAATGAGATCGTGGTGGGAGGGGGAGGCTAAGGGGGATGGGGAAGGACAAAGAAACTCACAGCACGAACGCCACTGAGGTCGGCTCCTAGCCACATCAGCAAGTGTGTCCAACCAAACGTGTTCATCGTCTTTCGGACCCCAACCAGGGAGCCGAGACGTTCCAACCGAGGCCAGCTCAGAAGTGAGGGCCTTCATTCCTATCGACCAAGCCATCGCTTGGCCACCCCTCCTCTTCTTCCATCCACATCCCCTGCGCGCAAACAACGCACGTCGCGGGAGTCGGTGGGCTGGCATGCGTAACACGTGGCCGAGCCATCGGAGCCTGGTGCGTGAAATAACGGTGCTGAGCGGTTCAGTTCCTTTTCTTGTGCCGTAAACAAGGCGTAGAACACGCTCGTTGGTCACGCGGCTAGGTTTTAAAGGAAGAAAGCCATCGAGCCTCCTTAACCTCCGAAGCGGACTGGATTATCAGACTAAGTCTGACCCCTAACTATTGAAATGTATGATATGGGTGGCTCTGAATGCACTTAGAAAGTGCTACTCAGCGTACCTAAATGAGTTACGGAGTTACGCAAACCATCACACCATATTAAGGTCCAGTCTCACTGCAATGGCGTTTACACTACTGGTAAATGAGGGAGTTTTGAAGGCCTAATACGCGAGACCCCTTAATAAGACGTTGGTTTGCTACATTACAAAATGTTCCATGTGCATACAGTTGACAGTAGAGTTTGTGTTTCCGATTGTAGTGCACGAGGAGACTAACCTGCCGGCGGAGGGTTCAGTCATGGCGATCGCACCAATCCATTCGCCCTTCGTCATTTTCGGTAGATACTTCTGTTTCTGTGCAGAGCTTCCGTAATGACTAATGTAAGGCATGACGATGTCAGAGTGAATAGGAAACCCGGGTCCAGAACAATTGGCATAAAATCTTCAATGGGTTGAATTATTATGATCGAAGTGTACTCACAATTCCTCCCATACAACAGCTGAACCAAGAATGTCTCCCCCAACTCCGCCGTCGGCTTCCGGTATGGCGACACCCAGCAGCCCATGTTCACCAGCTTTTACCCATAACTAGGAAGTTCCCGAGGGAACGGACTGGTGGTAAAAGGTACTCACTTCTCGATCACAATGACCTTGTTCTTCCCACCTTGAAAACGGTGAGTTGCGACATGATTCACGGAGGAATTACAGCATACTTGCTATGGTGCGGCGTAACGTGCTCAGCAACAAACCTTCGGACAGTTTGTCGGAACATATCATGTTCCTCGGTAAATATGGATCGTGTGCCGATATCCAAAAGAGATGCCGCTTGACTGATTTCCGGTCTGTATGAATAGCTAAGTGTAGGTAGAGTTTACAGTGCAAACAGTGTACATACTGACGAAAGCAATGTTTGAGGAGTTTTCCATTGTAAAGTAACCAACGAAAGGTAGCCTAACAGAACATACACGAGGCACAAGGTGTGAAGAATTAAATTAGATTGGATAATGGATCAGCATAAGAACGTATGCATGAGTAAAGGATAACTTTTTGGCCCGTAGGCTTAAGGAAAAAAGCCTGTTTTGTAATCCAAAGGCTCAGGTTCCAGCCTGCGTAGGGATCGGGCGACCCTCGTTGTAACGTTAGCCCGCGTGCGACTGGTGGTAGCCGCGCGGCAGCAAAGTGTCGGTACTGCGCACCGCCGTACTGCTGGTGTCTTGCCTTTTCTGCATAGTTCATAAACATCGTGACATCATAATGAATACAAAAAGCAAAATCGCTGGAGTATAGGCAGAAGCAAGAAATGGGACATTAAAGGAAAGGAAGCGAAGTAAAGCTGCATCGAGAAAATAGTGGCACGCGGAAGATCGAACCGATGATTGGTTGCCACACAACCAACAGCGATTGTAAGCGAGTGGGGTAACACAATATCATGCGCACTTACAGTTTCGAACCAGTGACTCACGAATTACAAGGCAAGTACATGAGACGGTCCGCAATCGGTCAGACACTCGTGCACTGCTGTATGTTGGGGTTTCTAATCTCCGGAAGTGTTGCTTCACAAAAGCGCATTTCACAAACGTACAACACAACCTTAGCCTCCGAACAACACCACAAAACCTAAGAATGACTTTAAAAAGAGAAAAATACATCGTAGGTACGTCGATAAACTGCACCGACGCAACGTTGCCAAGCGAACACCAACAGTCTTGCGAGGATTAGTCACACCACGAGGTCGACCGCATTTAGGCGATCCGAACCGGTGACCTCCACATTGCAAGGCAAGCGTGTAATCCCTTCGGCTAGCGCCTCGGATTGATTGTTCAGGTGACCGCTGAGCTTGGTAAGTAGGTTGCAAGTATTGTAAGTTACTTAAGACGACGAAGAAGATTCACAAGGTGAATGGAACTTTCAATGGAGAAAATCAAATCAAGTCTCACTCTCCAGGCTCATTTGCAGGCGATCAAGCAACAGCGATGCTTTGGTCAAGAGGAATGAAGGCTCTTAGTATGAAATTTGCATTGGTTGGTGTCATTCGACTGACGAGCCGGGACCGGACGATAAACACGTCTGGCTGGATACACTTGTTGACATGGCTTTTGTGTTGTTTCTTTGTTCCTCGCCACCACGTTTATCATCCCCCCACCAACTACGATCTTTGTCTTGAAGCCTAATATGTTACTAAGCAGTATGTTACATGTGGTTTTGTGTTCTGTAATGTTTAGTATCTCGCTTGTACAAATATCTAACCCTTTTGTATTGCGACAAAATGGTTGAACTGTTTCTCAGCTTCAGCTAAGGTGTAAAGATGGTGATGATGACGCTACAGCGCAGTATGTCTGCGGAGCGCTGGATGCAATAAATCGACAAAGTTCAATGAGAATATTTCATGATGAGAGGGGAAATAACCGGCAGTCTGAATGCACTTATTTGCGAGCTAAACAGAGAGAGAGACAGTAAACGCTTATCATCAAAGAGGATGAAGAGAGTGAGGATACTGATACCCAATAGCACTGTACATCACAACTATCAGTAACCGAATACACTAAGCCTGAAGTTCAAGTTCAGTTGGGACCGGAACGAGAGAATAATCCCGTGAATGTTCTTTCTTTTGCGTATCGTCGGATCGGGAATTGACAGGTCTGCTTGAGATGTTGAAAAGCCTAAAACAAAGACCGCATAGTACCCTGTCCAACCAATTACTGTCCACACTTTCCTGCCAGTGTTTTCTCATTGCGACTATCCGGTGACGATGCAGCTTCGAGCACCGGCCAAGCTGGTGTTGGCATTGCCCTGAGTCCCCGGGCTGAAGCTGCTCTGGTTGATTGGATTCCAATCAGTAGCCGGATGTGTGCGGTCCGATTGGCTGGCTCGTTGAAAGCTTCGAAGTCGCGCGGAACTTATAGATGTCTATTCATCATCGCTGCCTACGTACCCACAAACTGTAGAGATAATTCGGCAAAGAACGACTTTTACCGCCAGCTGACCCAGCTCCTTCGCCACAGAAGAAGCACGGACATTGTTGTGCTGGCGGGGGATATGAACGCGCAAGCTGGAAAGTTGTCCACTGATGAAATGCACTTGGGCGGTCAGCACGGTGTAGGCTCGCGTAATAATAACGGTGAGCGGTTACTTCATTTGTGTGAAGATGCTCGCTTATTTCTTGCGAGCACTAATTTCCGACACGGCACCCGCCGGAGGGTGACTTGGCGCTCACCAGCCTCGAACCAGCCTTGGACGCAGATCGATCACATTGCGATAAGTCACCAATGGAGAATCTGCGTCCAGAACTGTCGCTCGATTTGGAGCACATGTGTGGACACCGACCATGTACTTGTATGTGCTGACATGCGGATGCGTTTTGGTGGACGCCTACAACGACGTTGTGAGCACTTTGACACCAACCAACTGACAAAGCCAGCTGTTCTGAATGCGTATCGAAGTACGCTGACATGCGAGTTGAGTAAGCGCTCACTGGAGACAATTGATGGTCACTGGTCACATGTTCACCAGATCTTACTAGCAGCAGGCAAATCCTCATGTGGCATGTCTAATAGCCAACATGGTTATTGGGTCTCTTCGCAGTCTCTAGAACTTATCGATGCTCGCCGGCATATCCCGGCTGGAAGCCGGGCAAGACTTCGTACTAGCCCGAAGAGAGACCGCGAATCTTGGTGGTCTCATCGTGCGTCAGAGATGGAAGTGGCCGCTGCACTTGGCAACCATTGTAAGTTATTCCGTCTGATACGGGAAACCGGCAACAGGAGACCCGGTGTTAGTGAAACTATACGTGATTAGAGTGAACAGCCTATCCACAATTTGTCAAAACGCCTGGAGCGTTGGGCTGAGCATTTTGAAAAGCAATTAAATCGGCTAGAATCGTTCGATTCTTCGCCGGTCACTGATCGCCCTGCTCCGTGGGCTGTCCCTCTGGATCCACCCTCTCGCTCTGAAGTCGAACGTTAGATCGGACTGCTGAAGTTGAACAAAGCCGCGGGACCAGATGATCTTCCTCCAGCTCTCTTCAAATTCGGAGGCTCTGTTCTTGTTGATGCTTTAGATGAATTACTAGTGAAACTGTGGGAGCACGAGACTGCCCCAAGCGACTGGAGCCGCTCTGTTATTGTTCCCATCTTCAAAGGCGGATCGCGCTCGGAATGCGGCAACCATAGAGGAATCAGTCTGATCTCCATCGCCTCTAAATTACTCGCCTCCGTAATCCTTCATAAACTGACTGGCGCTCGTGAAAGCCAGATTCGTGAGGAGCAAGCCGGGTTCCGTCGGGGTCGTGTATAATGATGAATGATGATTCCGAAGGTAAGGCACAGGTGTCGAGTGATAATGTAAACATGCATGTAAGAGCGCCACTTAGCTCAGCAGTCAATTCACGCACAGCTTCGGATAAACGGAATCGGGGCCAGAAGCTTTGGAAGGATTTAGCCCTTGCAATAGCCCAAAGACTTGTGTCTCCGTTATGCTGATTTCAGTTAAGCAAGAATCCTCTGGAACTTTTGTGACCAGCTCAACCTGAGGTAGAGCGGTCTCATGAGAAAAGACACCAGTATACTGTTCGCTAAGTATACAAGCATTATCATAGTCGGTATGCCCATGGGTCCCGTGCGCTCGTAGGAAAGCCGGTATAGACGAGTTTGTACCGCTACGTCTCTTTACGTAAGCAAAGAACTTTGAATTTGTTAAGGCTGCGTTAGCCAAATCCTCCTCGTATTGAAGACGAAGAGTTCTAAGATGATGCTTACATTTATTTCTAACCGCTCGATAGCTTTCGTAGGTGCTGGTTGATGAAGCCGCTTGGTAAGTTCGCCAGCACTTAGAGTGCTTCCTGAGCAGGTATTTACCTGTATGATCTATCCAAGGAGGCTGCGCCTGTGTCACCCGTCTCTTAATGAGTGGGAAGTGGGGAGCAGAGATCTCGGTGAGGTATGCCTTAAATTTCTCCCAGGCTGTCTCAACGGTGTCAGCCACGGTGATCGCACAACGCAGAACTGAAGCTTTGTCTCGCATTGAGTTAAAGTCTGCCCGCCAAATATTTGGACATGCCTCAGCGGTAGCTTGATGACACTTAGAGCACATCGAAAGGATATGCAGACATGGTCACTGGCTCCTAGAGGACAGCCGTAAGTAATAGCACTTACGAAATCGTGACTTCGCAAAAATGAGATCCAAGGTAGACGGAATTTGGTTGCGCATATATCTAGTCGGGAGGTCCACGAACTGATGCAAAGGCAGTTGCAATGTTAGCTCGAGGAGATCCGAACCGAAAGTGCCCACCGCCGAACTGCAAGATAGATCAGCCCAGCAGACCTCAGGGAGGTTGAAGTCACCCAGTATTAGACACCTATTGGCAGCCTGAGTACGAATAAATTCGATAATCTCCTTGGAGACACTTCCAGGACTTCGATATACCACTACAACTGTAAACTGAGTAGAGGAAGTGCACATAATAGTCGACAGGCCCTCAACAGTTTGATCTGGCGACTGGAACACACAGGTCCTCAACACATTCAGTTTACAACGCACATAAACAGCGACGCCCCCACCTTGGCGGCCAACAGAGCGATCGCATCTAAGCAGTGAGTAGCCAGGAAAACAAACTTCACCGTCTGTGATATCCGGGGACATTCACGTTTCGGTGATAGCAAGTATGTCGGGACGAGATCCGTTTATAAGGAAACCCATCTCATGTACGTTGTTCCTTAGGCTACGCACATTACTAAGCACTACCTGAAAGAACCCGGCACACCCAGCCCTGGGTCGTACGCTACCAGAAGGGGTTCTGATAGGGTAGAATTTGACTTCCGGCTGACCATCTGAAAACCCACAAGACGAAGACCTTGCTCACCCGCCGCCCGCCTGCTCTTGAGGCTTTTGATGGCTTCCTTTAACTTCAGTCGATCTGCCAGTGTGAGGTCCGGCTGAACGCTGACATTGCTACC